TGTAGTACCTCTGAGTCTGGAGAAGAAGATTTTTGAAATGTTGGTTAATTTTCCCTTTGGGGCCCCGCCCTGGCCCCTATGGTGGGGGTAGGAATTCCAATTTTACAATTTAAAACCATCTTTCTTCAAGGATAATTCTCACCAAGTAAAAATAATTTCCAACAGAAAATTGTCAAAATATACCCAAAAGTGTTATTTCCCTATATAAACTATAGTAAACTTTACCCCCTCCCCAAGGGAAAACGGATAGCTCGGGCGTCCTGGAATTTACAATTTAAATAAAACCCCTGATGATCTTTCCATCCATGCAGAGAAAATGACTGTTATACGTCTGAGTCTAGAGAAGAAGACTTTTGAAATATTGGTTAATTTTCCCTTTGGGGCCCCACCCTGGCTCCTAGGGTTGGGGTAGGAATTCCAATTTTACATTTTAAAACCATCTTTCTTCAAGGATAATTCTCACCAAGTAAGAATAATTTCCAACCGAAAATTGTCAAAATATACCCAAAAGTGTTGTTTCCCTATATAAACTATAGTAAATTTTACCCCCTCCCCAAGGGAGAACGGATAGCTCGGGGGTCCTGAAATTTACAATTTAAATAAAGTCCCTGATGATCTTTCCATCCATGCAGAGAAATTGACTGTAATACCGCTGAGTCTGGAGAAGAAGATTTTTGAAATATTGGTATATATTCCCTTTGGGGCCCCACCCTGGCCCCTACGGTTGGGGTAGGAATCCCAATTTTACAATTTGGTAGCCTCATCTACCAAGGATGATTCTGACCAAGTTTGAAAAAATTCCATCCCCTGGTTCTTGAGAAGAAGTTGGTAATGTAAAAAGTTTACGCACGACGTACGACGACGGACAGAAAGCGATTGGAATAAGTCACTTGAGCAAAGCTCAGGTGACCTAAAAATGCACATCTACAGACCAAGAGAAACCTACACATAAAATTCAAGAAAGCCTGTAAAGAAAATCTGGAGAATGTGATAACAAACTTGAACATATAAAATTCAAAAGTGTTTCCTCGCTGCCATCTTGGTTTTTTTATCAGTCTCAAATGAAACATGCACAACTACTGTCCAAGATTATGAGATTTTAAGAAAGTGTGTCAAGTACCTGTACCAGCGATAACAGACTTAAACTGTCATACCCAAAGATTAATGCTTTGTAGCTGTCTTATTTTTCGATAAATCTCAAAATGAGCTTTTCAAAACTACAGACCAAGAAGAACCTTCATATGATATTTGAGAAAGATTATTCTCGTTCTTCTTAAGAAATAGTGATAACAAGAATTTTTAACGGACAGACAAACCACGGACCACAGACAAAGGGAAATTTGAAAAGCCCTCCATCTGATTGTGATGGAATAAAAGCTGTTCATGACCTTTTTAAAATTTCTGGCTACAGAGCTGGTAAATGGGTTTATAACAATGATATACTGCTGGATAATGGTTCAATTTTGAAAAATCAAACATTCTTGCTGAGTTTGAATTTTTGTGTAACATAATTAGTCAAATGTCAACCAATACCAACGTGTGATCAATTTTAGGGTAGATTTTTCTGGAACTGAATATGACAAAATACGATCGCTGCGAAAAATGCTGTACTGTTAGATTTCTTTCACAGGGACTTATCCTGACAGAAAAACTGTAAGCTTCACATTGTGGTTACTCACTTCTTTCTCCTTCCTCTTGCTGCCCCGAGTCTGTCTGCTGGTGGGGAGCTCTTCTGGAGTGGAAGGTAGAAAGTTCAGCTGTAGTCCTCTCTCTGGGGAGACTGCAAAATAGCAAAATATTAAACATAAATATCCTAAACATCCATTTACAAATCTAATAACATGCTAAGTACATGAATATCTTTATTTTGTTCTGAAAATTCAGGAACCACCCAAGAATTGGTACTAACAAGAACACCCTGTCCATTTTTGTAAAATGTGAGGTGTTTTTTGTTTTTTAAGTACTTACAGTGACCAATGTCCAGCTCGACGGCAGTTACAAGTGACCGCACATTGTCCACTATCTCTGAAAGGTGAGGTCTGTCCACTAAACTCCTACAAGTTTCAAGCAAAAATTATAATCAATATGATTTTAACAACTATAATCATTGTTTTTTTCTGCCTAAATTTTCATCAACCTGTGCAGCAGTGCCTGCATGACCTGGGAATATGTAGAAATATTTCCATAATATAAGTACTGGATGTACTCAAAAAAACAATCCCCAGATTCTTGGTTGTACAAAAAATTGCTGTTTAAATATATTGATGCCCGTGACCTTGGAGTTTGGTACAGGCCATTTATTTAACTTTGATAACCCTTCATCCCAGCATGCTACTGGCCGAATTTCATCACCCTTGACCTTTTGGTAATTCAGAAAAAGTTGTGTTAATGTGTAAACATATTTAACCCCAATGACCTATGAAGTGAGTTATGTCAGGGTCATTCATTTGAACAAACCTGATATCTCTTTACTGCAGCACGCTATACTGGCCAAATATCATCACCATATAGGCATTTTGATTATTCAGTAAATTCATTTTGAGTTTTCCCTGAAGGAGGAGTGCGTGGCCGGACATTATGTTGTACACTACTATACTTATACCAACTAAATAATAATAATAATTTGAGGTTCTTATATACCGCTTTATCACAACCTAGTTCGTAGGTCGTCTCAAAGCGGTTCACAAATATTATCCATGGTTATTCTTATGCAACCAGCCAGTATCTACCATTTCGGCACTCACAGCTAGCATTCTACAATTCTAGCACTGCCCAACCACATACTCATTTACAGCTGAGTAGACTGGAACAAGCTGAGAGTAAAGTATCTTGCTCGAAGATACAACACAGTGTGTGACTCGAACCAACGACCCTTCAGTCACGAGCCCAGCGTCCTACCACAAGACTAAGTGCCTCCTGAGCTCATTACCATCATTGAAGGATTCCTGACATACTGACCTTTTGGTGACAGACTTCTTACAGAGAGAACCTGATCTTGTGTTGACTAGATGTCCTGACCTTTTGGTGACAGGCTTCTCACAGAGAGGACCTGATCTAGTGTTGACTGGATGTGCTGACCTTTTGGTGACAGACCTCTAACAGAGAGGACCTGATCTAGTGTTGACTGGATGTGCTGACGTTTTGATGACAGACTTCTTACATAGAGGACCTGATCTAGTGTTGACTGGATGTGCTGACCTTTTGATGACAGACTTCTTACAGAGAGGACCTGATCTAGTGTTGACTGGATATACTGACCTTTTGGTGACAGGCTTCTCACAGAGAGGACCTGATCTAGTGTTGACTGGATGTGCTGACCTTTTTTGTGACAGACTTCTTACAGAGAGGACCTGATCTAGTGTTGACTAGATGTCCTGACCTTTTGGTGACAGAATTCTTACAGAGAGGACCTGATCTAGTGTTAACTGCTTTTGGTGACAGGCTTCTCACAGAGAGGTCCTGATCTAGTGTTGACTGGATGTGCTGACGTTTTGATGACAGACTTCTTACATAGAGAACCTGATCTAGTGTTGACTGGATGTCCTGACCTTTTGGTGACAGGCTTCTCACAGAGAGGTCCTGATCTAGTGTTGACTGGATGTACTGACCTTTTGGTGACAGACTTCTCACAGAGAGGACCTGATCTAGTGTTGACTAGATGTCCTGACCTTTTGGTGACAGGCTTCTCACAGAGAGGACCTGATCTAGTGTTAACTGCTTTTGGTGACATGCTTCTCACAGAGAGGACCTGATCTAGTGTTGACTAGATGTCATGACCTTTTGGTGACAGACTTCTCACATAGAGGACCTGATCTAGTGTTGACTGGATGTACTGACCTTTTGGTAACAGGCTCCTTACAGAGAGGACAAGGTACAGACTTCTTTGTTTTCAGAAATTCTCTCAAACAAAATCTGCAAAAGTTAAAAAAAAAAAATGATTTTATATATTTAAAGGATTACAGCTCAAGAGGACTAAGTATATATAGCAGGAAATGTATTCACTGTATTTTCATCACATGATAACTAATTTCACAACTTAAACCATTGATGTCAGTATTTAAGGAAGAAATTAAATTAAGGTACTGGAATTGTATGTTTGTATTTAGACAATTTTTTCATCCATTGTCCATCTTTAACCTTAAAATACTAGTCCAGAACGGCTGACAGGATTTTGACTAAATTTTGTGTGGAGCATTAACAATTTCTATCTCAACATTCAGTTAACGATTATTATATATTTACAGACATGTGCATATTCAATGTACAAATCAGATGTTCTCCAGCACAGATTATTTCTCCTTTATGCCAACCAGTGTTTGATTTGTTGATGTTAGGTTGTTAGAGGATGGACATCTGATTGAAATAATACTGGAAGCTATTGTGTATAGTCTGATTAAATTCACATCAAAGTCAGAGCTACAGGACGTGTTAGGTTACCTATACCCGGGTTTTACTCAGTTTAGCTGGATAGTGATCATTAATGATGATGGGATTCCTCCAAGGGTTTGATCATATAATTATATATTGTCTATAATATGACACACATATATACTGTATACAGGAAGTTTTCGCCCTCTGGAATGGAGGCAAATTCATCATTACAGTGAACGTTAGTCAACAACATAAATTAACATAGTAACTGAATGTGAAAATCCAAACTAACACTGGACAAAATCTGATTTTACAGGCAATAGGAGAAAGTTTGACTGGGCGAATCTTTTCTGGTATACATGCATGTTACATGTACAGCATTATACCAACATAACAGGGCTCAAATGTATGTACAGCATTATACCAACACAACAGGGCTCAAATGTATGTACAGCATTACACCAACACAACAGAGCTCAAATGTATGTACAGCATTACGCCAACACAACAGAGCTAAAATGTATGTACAGCATTACACCAACACAACAGAGCTCAAATGTATGACCAGCATTATACCAACACAACAGAGCTCAAATGTATGTACAGCATTATACCAACACAACAGGGCTCAAATGTATGTACAGCATTATACCAACACAACAGGGCTCAAATGTATGTACAGCATTATACCAACACAACAGGGCTCAAATGTATGTACAACATTACACCAACACAACAGGGCTCAATGTATGTACAGCATTATACCAACACAACAGGGCTCAAACGTATGTACAGCATTATACCAACACAACAGGGCTCAAATGTATGTACAGTATTATACCAACACAACAGGGCTCAAATGTATGTACAGCATTATACCAACGTTCACAACAGGGCTCAAATGTATGTACAGCATTATACCAACACAACAGGGCTCAAATGTGTGACCAGCATTATACCAACACAACAGGGCTCAAATGAATGTACAGCATTATACCAACACAACAGGGCTCAAATGTATGACCAGCATTATACCAACACAACAGGGCTCAAATGCTGGGAAACAATGTAGACCAGAAAGCTGAATTCTGAAATGACTGGTATGCATCATATCCAGATTTAGTAAATTTGGAGAACAAAACCACTGAAAACCAATATACCAGGACTGTTGGATGAACAGATGAAAATTATGCTGGCAAGTTGTCCATGCTCTATTAATTTCAGTCTTACAAACGTCTGTTTTACTGCAGACATCAGTTTTACCCATTGGTTTTACTGACGTCAGTTTTACTGAGTTTTTCTGACATTAGTCTTACTGACATCAGTTTATATAATTACTTACCCACAAAACTGATGACCACACTTTGTAGACACAGGCTTTTTCATGATGTCTAAGCTGTAAATGATAAGAGAACAAACATTAGACTACAGATAGTTTTTGTATATCATTAAACTCAATTGTATTAAAAGAATGTGTTTGTGTTGTTTTTAAGCGTATGTGCCAAACGGCAGCTGTGATAAGCTGACTCTGCACTCACACAGTTGCGTAATTTTCTACATGAAATATACCTAACACCAATGTAGAAAGTTATCAATAAGTTATTTGATATATTTAAATATAAATTATTATATTAGCGGTTTTTTTGTTTTTTCAAATAGGACAAAACAACCTGGACCGAGGCTAACCTCAGGAGATTGAGGGGTCCAGACGTACCTGACTGAAACTAAAATGCCGACTATTGCTAGTTTGCGTTATTTCTTTCTAAAACAATGTAAAGCCACATGTAGTTTTTAAGATACGTTATGTAATTCAGTGGAAGCGTGAGAGAAGGGCATAATATTCTTGATACATTGTTTTTTTTATTCTCCGAAACGGTGCATTTTTAGCTCTGCTTATAGAACGGTCCAAGTGCGTTCGTTTATCGTGGAATATTTCTGCGCCACACGTACCGTTTCAACCGGGATATGCGAATGTAAAAGCCTAGATGTAAAAAAAAAAAGTTTATTGTACATATTCACACTTTTTCTTCTTATGGTACATGGGCTCCATCAATGGTGATGTTTATGCCCTCGGGGGTCCCAACACAGAGGCGTGAAAAAAAGGGGTTATTTACAGTGATTAGTTGGGTTTTTTTAGTGATTTTTTGTGCAGGTATAGATAAAAGTTGGCGTATGTTTTAGTGTGTGATGAGGGCTTCAAGGGCTGCATAGGGTAAGTGTGCCTTGAAGTTCTCTAGTGTTGTGCATTGTACTGCTGCTGTGGGAAGGAGATTCCATTGTGTTATTGAATTGTGTGTGGAAAGAATGAATATTTGTAGGTGTCCTTTGTTGCAGATATGAGTTTATATGTGCGAGGGTGTGCAAGTCTGATTTGAGGGTCTACGGGTGTGAGTATATATGTTGGGTTTATAGCTACGATTTGGTGTACAATTTTGTGAAAAAGGATCATCCTTGTGTGACAGCGCCGTGTTTGTAGTGTTGGCCATTATAGTGTGTGGATCATATCTGTTTTGGTCAGTTTTAGCCGACTATCAAGATAGAATGTTATACCAGCGGTTTATTTTATCAGAACAGCAAGACTTATTTGTCAGACTTTATGTATTACCATATCACACATTCCAGATTTTTCTGCATCAACCCTATAACTTGATGAATTTGGCGTCGTTGGTCCATCCTGTTAGGTAAGTTGTTATTTGGCGCGGTACGTAGTCAGCTGGTTTGTTTACAAAATTATCTTCATATGCCACCAGTCATTCTCCGATGTAATCGTCCTTCATGCCTCATGCTCCTAGTCCGAAATCATGGCAACGCCATTCAATCTACGCTTTTATGGAGGAATGTGACAAACATCAACAAAATATACAAAATTAACTGTATACTGTACTGTCAGCGAATATTTATCTTCTTTTTCCCCGCGCTCGACGCCTTATCTTACCTTAGGACACTGAAGAGTTCTTTGATCATACTAAGAAAAAAACATGAAACCGGAGCCGGAACCACAGCTTCCGGAGATGGGGAAAGGGGCTTATAGAGTCTTCTACTTCTATACTGACTTACTTCAATTATTTTGGAAAGGAATGCCAGAAGATGAGTATAAATGAAGGAGATTTTAAATAAAAATAAAAGCGGATAAAATCCAATAGGGATTTGTAAAGAGACGGTGAACAATGCAAGATGTTACAGGAGCTCAGTCGGGAAGAATGGCACGTTTTAAGTCAAGTCAAGCTAATGGTATTGAAGATCGGCATTGTTTACAATCATAAACTCAACCCTTGATTTTTTTTTAATTGGGCAGCTAGGAAATTCTTAAACAAATGTATCTAGGTGTAGGTTGTAGTTTTTACATCAATAAAATCCAAGATTATATATTATAACATACAATAATTGTACCGTAGGCTTTTTCCAATTGAAGTTTCTGTAGTTACTTGTTTAGGTCTACTTAATTTTGATTTACAATTGCTGCTTCTCTTTACAAAATCTTCGTTGCTGGAGTTTGAATATTGCCAGAAAAAAATCAATCGTGTAGATATTCTAGTTTCTGGCTGTTTGTTTTTTTAGCAAAAATGCCATATCAGTGGACAAAAACAGAATTTGACAAAAGAAAAGCATGATCACTTTCCTTGAGCCTTTTGTCCATTGCTTTAGTACAATGCGAATGAAGATCAAAATTTTACAAGGAGTCAATGTTCACAACAAAAAACATACATATCCCGGCACACCTTGGATGTATAAAGGGAGATAACACTGGAGATCTTGTATGCTTTTCAGATACAAAATACGATTCTTCACCTATGCATTCGATACCAAACAACAAACAGGCCAGACTATAGGTTAATCCACTCAGTTCAGCACTCCGTATCCATTGTTGATACTAAAGAAGTTGCTAAATTTCTATTTTCATTCTACTTAAAAGATAAACAGAACGATTATGATTTTCTGGTTGACATACATGTGAATATTTTGGACCTATTGTATATCATGAAGCCGGATTAAGAGCAGCTGTCTGCGGAGAGGGAGCAGGAGACAAGGGATATCATTTTAAGATTCCGATGCCTATATAATATCAACTGTACGCATCTCCACATTTTTATATAGAAAAACAGCTCTCAACGAATCCTCTGTTATTAATGTCTATTTATGGGATGATTGTTTTTGCAATTTTCTCCCATGTGACATTTCAAAATTTTCAAAATGATAATTGAATATTTTTATTCATTTCCTGTCACGTACTCATTTCCGAAAATTATCCTGTCGGAATACCGAGGACTCGGGAGTTTATGCAGACGGCAATGTTCACTCAAGTCCCAAACCAAACACACCCGCACTCATCCGCACACATGTACAAATACATATAATATTGACATAGTGAAGATTCAATTTCGGGATATGACAAGCTTCGTTAAAGTAGTTTTTGTTCTTTTATCATCTACCGAAAAATAGTTAACAGGAACAGTTATTTGTGGGGCCCAAATTTCATGATTTTCTGAAAAAGAAAAAAAACATTTCGGGGTCACATAAATTAATTGAGTACCCACTCAAACGGAGAACTGCTTTATATGAAACTTGTAATTACTTTGTGGGCCTATTAACTCATAAAGATTAACCCATTCCATCAACGAAATTTTAAATCCGACAAAAAATTAGTGATTTAACAGTATATAAGAAAGGAGTAACAGATCTTTAGTAAAGATGTGATTTTTTCCCTTTGGCATTTTCTTCATGACTCTCATTCCATGGCCGATGATTTTGAATATGATCATAAATATGCCTCGTGGTTTTATTGTCACTACCAAGGTTCTTGTTGTGAGGGACGTGGGTAATGCTCAGGTGACGTCGACAAAGCAGAACACGTCTATCCTTCCGGAACACCTGGTCTTATTTTCCTTGTACTCTTTCAAACGTCTACATATAATTATTTTCTTTGTTCATATTTTCCCATTTGAGTTTGAATTGCGGTTTTGTTGACGCTTTAGGTGGCCTTATTTTTAACATGCACAAAAACTCAAACCTTTACGTTTACCCATTGACCCGAACTGTAGTTTCATTTACAAAAACTATAGGCCTACTCAAGTTGTATTTTTTTCGAATTACTCTCGTTTGTACCTAGTTTGAGAGCTCATTTGATCAAAATGCACCTGCCAGGAAATTTAAATCCATATTACTCGATCTTTATTAAAGAGAGTAAGTAATGACCACGACCTGTTGTTCGTAGTGCCATTTCAATACAGTTTTATGGGGTTCGATAAAATTTGAAAAATGTGACACATAACAGAGCAGTGTACAGTACGGAACTGTGATATTTGTGTACAGTGAATTACACTTGTAATATTGTAATATCAAACTAAAACGAAAATCTGCACTAAAATCTGCATATTCATGATGAAGGGTACCCAGTGACTTCATATTTTCACAGAGAGAGAAAGAAAGAACGAAAGAGAGAGTGTGTGTTTGCGGTGGGGGGTGGGGGTGTATGTTTTTGTGTGCATTTTGTTTGAAATTATTCGGTCATTTACAAAACATCGTCTACATAACCAACTCTAGTTTTACATTTAGTCTATTTCAGAACTCAGCACATTTGTAAATATTGAGAGAATAAACGAATATTTCTTGTACAAAGTAGGTAATTGTTAAAAGGCAGCTTTTAAGAAAACGATTCTATCAGAGGAATCAAAGGCCTTTGTTTTCGTTTTGCAGTATTTCGATGTGGTAACCGTCGTTTGAAATCAAAGGGAACTATTTGTTTATAAATTGGTTCATTTCTCTATAAAATTCCTTTTATAATGTTATTTTTAAACAGGTGAAGGTTTGATGTGTGGAATGAATCCATTTTCAACATTGCACAGCTACCGGAAAACTGGATAGTCGTCTAACATATATTCACGGCGGTTGCAACGAACCCTTCGAATTTCCGCCGACGAATATCGCGTTCGCGAATGATCACTGAAAAAATGTGGATGCACAATCATGTTCGGAAAACCGACTTAGAGGGAAACAAAGGTCTCCTACACGACATTGTAAACTCTATATCAACAAAAAATATAGACAACTTTGATAGATCACTCATTTCCAATAACTGCGGAAGAATTATATTTTTTTTTTAAAAGTGTCAAATTTCGTGTATGTTAATGATGGCAGTACATTGCGTAGTAGATGAATGAATGAAATGGGGGGATGTTAGTAGTGTAATTGTAGTAAAGACAGACAGTCAGACAGACAGACAGACAGACAGACAGACAGACAGACATAAAATGGATTTAATGCTGTCAAGTTTGATTGCTTGACTGATTTTACGCATAATATAGTTGACGTACGCATACAAATTACATTGATTGATTGATTTTACCGATACAAATTAGATTGATTTATTAATTTCATCCATACAATTTTTTGTTTATTTTCCGCATACAAATAAGGTTGATTAATGTATTTTCCCATACAACCCTGTGTAGGTAATGGTTTTACAAACCTCTATAACACGACGGAGGAGACTGTCGGGTTCAGCATAAACTGTGATGTCACAATCGTCATGTCGGATGGTGTTTGTGTTAATACGACACGTCGTGACGAATGCACCGAATTAATAAATTACTAAATATCTCGAGAAGTTTACACCTGTCCTCATCACTGAAGTATTTGGTTTTGATTATAAATTACTAAATCTCCTGAGACATTACGAGGTTTACACCTGTTTTTGTATCTGGAGTATTTGGTTTTAATTATTAATTACTAAATCTCCCGAGACATTTTAAAGTTTGGTTTTCATTATAAATAACTAAATCCCCCGAGACATTGAGAAGTTTACACATGTTTTATTCTCTGGATATTTTGGTTTTCATTATAAATTACTAAATCTCCTGAGACATACGAGGTTTACACCTGTTTTTGTATCTGGACTATTTGGTTTTCATTATTAATTCCTAAATCCCCCGAGACATTTAAAAGTTTGGGTTTCATTATAAATTACTAAATCTCCTGAGACATACGAGGTTTACACCTGTTTTTGTATCTGGAGAATTTGGGTTTCATTATTAATTACTAAATCGCCCGAGACATTTAAAAGTTTGGGTTTCATTATAAATTACTAAATCTACCTAGAACATTTTTGAAGTTAGGTTTTCATTATAAATTACTAAATCTCCTAAGACATTACGAGGTTTACACCTGTTTTTGTATCTGGAGAATTTGGGTTTCATTATTAATTACTAAATCTCCCGAGACATAAGTTACTAAATCTCCCGAGACATTTACAAGTTTGGTTTTCATTATAAATAACTAAATCCCCCGAGACATTGAGAAGTTTACACATGTTTTATTCTCTGGAGATTTAGGTTTTCATTATAAATTACTAAATCTCCCTAGAACATTTTTGAAGTTAGGTTTTCATTATAAATTACTGAACCCCCGAAACATTTAGAAGTTTGGTTTTCATTATAAATTACTAAATATCACGAGATATTTAGAAGTTTACACCTGTCTTTGTCTCTGGAGTATTTGGTTTTCATTATAAATTATTAAATATCCCGACACATTTAGAAGTTTGATTTAAACATATTTTATTGCAAATAAATATTTACAAAAGAATTGGACACAAGTTTTACCAACTTATCAAAGTCCTTTTCTTCAAATACATGAATATAAACAATAACTTGATAAGGTAATTTACGCAATATACATTAATTATGTTTTATATGGAAATATAGAAGTTTGGTTTTCATTATAAATTACTCAATCTCCCCGAGACATTTAGAAGTTTGGTTTTCATTATAAATTGCTACACCTCCCCAAACATTTAGAAGTTTGGTTTTCATTATAAATTACTAAATCTCCCTAGAACATTTTTGAAGTTTGGTTTTCATTATAAATTACTAAACCCCCGAAACATTTAGAAGTTTGGTTTTCATTATAAATTACTAAATCTTCCTAGAA